GCCTATGTACCCTCTGTGTATTCTGAAGTAAGTCACTAAATGCTGAGAACATCTTCGCTTACTTTTTAAAAGTTACCCAAAATTAATATGAGCAGTGGAATTTAGGCAAAGCGCAGTCTAGACTTTAGGCAGACTTCCTCAAAGTTCGCAGAAAATCCCAAAATCCGTGTCGCCTAGCACCCCAGAAAAACAGTTAACAACCAGTGTACTTCTTAATCTTTTGAAGACGAAGTTACAATTATTAGCAATACCCAGTCTCCCGATTCGGGAGAAAAATTGCTCCGTTTAGGGAAAGTTTTGGGTAAGCCGCTATAGAAAATTTTGAAGAAAAGGCACCCAAACCTTGGACTTTCCATAGATGTAGGGAAATTCCCCAAACTTTTGGGTTTTTTCCGCGATATTTTCCTAAATTTCCCCAGAATCTTATCATATTTTGGGGAAATCGGTCTATGTGTCAATAAAACCACAAAACTCCACCATTTTGGGTAAATTTTGCGTTCTTCTCTGATATTTTACCTAAACTTCGGGATTTCCCCTATGTTTCCCCGGAATTCCATTACACTCTGATGGAATCCGTCTATATTTATGAAATCGCAAAATTTTCCTCAATTTCGGTGAATTTATCCAAAATGTCTCGTTTTAACTCAATGCTTTTCCACATTTTTCGACAGATATCACGGAAAAGCCTGGCGATAATAACTATCTAACAGTTTCTACTCATGTATTCTGTTTTTTCCTGTCAATTACGCACAGTAGACGCAGTGCCAGTTGTTAACAAAAATCGATCTATTGCTGTGATTAAAAGAATGATTCGTCACACATTTAAATGTTTATTAAAGTTTAATAAATTACAAATTATTCACTAATACGTCGTATATATCATATTAAACATAATTAATATGATAATGAAGTTCAGTCGGCTTTACAGTACCAACTTTTAGGTTTTGTTTTGGTATTTCAAATGGACACACCACTTTTTCAAGAATCTTACGTCATAGAGACGAGTTGTTCGCACTGTCATAGACTTCAGTTACTCCTGTCCAACCTGACTGCAACTAATTGATTCTTTTAGACTAGTAATGTTGGACGTAATGAATGGGATATGAGACGGGTTGCAGCCAACAGTGTCAAACTCGATGGGCTGCCACCGATCCCAAAATCCGCCACTGCCTCCTGTAGTTACGTACATTATGTACCCAGTGCAACAAACGGTAGTCTTTATTTTTTTATTAAATTGTAGGTGGTCCCGCTACCGAAAGATCTCTGTCTGTTCATCTCTCAATGAAGCAACAGCTAGACAGAGTTGTAATTCAGATGATAAAGGGAAGTGACATAATTGTATACAAGGCCAACGGAATTCTGGACCTTTTTCGGGTGTATATTCCTGAACTGTCCATGTCCTTCCGAAGAGTACTTAGTCGTTGCTATAATATGAAGCCCAAGTTTCTGGACACAATTGTACTACCGCATTGGACTGAAGTCAAGTTTACTGAGGATTTTCGAAGATTGGCTAGGTAAATTCAGTTTTAACGAACTGATTATGCAACTCAATTACAACGGCCTGTCGTTCAAAAGCTCTAATCAACAGTTGTGATCAATCCTAGAACGCCTAGTAGATCCATCCCTTAGTGAAGTATTCATAGTTGGTGAATTAAAACTCTGTTTTCAACGAAATGTCCGCAGCACTTGTAACTGAGTTAAAGGAGTTGCTGACAGTAGGCCTTCATGTAAATAATTGTCAATTACATTTGATAGTAAAGTTAGTAGCTGTTATTTGTGACACTGCAACTCGTAGCAACGTCAGGTATGTCGTTAGACATAATGATACAACTGGTTGTGATAAATGTAAGGTTCTAGGGACACGACTAGGTGGTCGAATTACTTTCCCCAACAGTGAATATGAATCGAGAAACGCGCATAAAATTTTCGACATTTAGCCTGATCTAGAGAAATAGTAGACTTGTCTTTAACTGCATTCATCAAGACACTTTAGGATACATCCAGTGTCATTCACTGGCCACTCATGTTCATCAATCAGCACTTTCTTACTAATCTATGCAGAACCACGGTCTTAAGGTTTTATTTGCCTACAATTATTGTTCGGAATTCTTGCGAAAGTGTGACTGCTGCATACATCAACTCATGCACTTCCAAAACAACTTGTTTGTGTATTAACTGCGAATTAAAATGTGCAGGAATTGTGCTTACTAACACCAGAAATGTCTGAATTGGACGTTGATGTCGTTGAAATGTTTCATAATGGGGCCATACTTTCCGAACAAATTGTTTGTTACGCATATATCAACATTCCCACCTGAGTGTACTGCATTAAATCAGATGTTACGTATTCGGTAAAGTTGTATGAATTATTGTTCGTTTAAAATAGGAGACATTACCAACCCCTAGTTATGTCTAATAAACGCCGGATAAATCGCTAACGTCTATTTCTTTTCAGCTAAGTATAATAATACTTGCTGGTTACAATGTAGACATGTGACTGGTATCCTAATATTGTGAACATTTTTACAAACTAGAATTTATGAAAATAATTGGTTTTGTACAGATGATTCGTAGGTAAGTTAGTTTCCCTGAAGAAATACTAGCGAATGTCGGAAATATTCAGTCTATAAGTATACAACTTGGTGTGAATTTAAGCAACGTTTCACTATTTCTTACGCTTGGCGAAAAGGATGGAAATCTGAGTCCTTGTTGCTTAAATTTACAACAAATTTCTCATTAAATACCGCTTTTATTTTCTTTTTTTGTCGTTTTTTTGATAGAAATTAAGAAATACAAATGTAAAGGACAGATACTACTTCAACAAATAAAAATAGATGGAAGCCATAAATTGGTCAACATTTTCGTCTGGTTTACTGCTTGTTGTATCTAAATTGATTTTACATAATCTTATTCCGCACATTATTGACGTATCTTTTTGTTTAAGCATCCAGTTGACGATAAATATTCCTTATCACTCCGTACATACTCTATATATTTAATAGGTAAATCGGCTGTCAGAAATACGTAAATTAAGTAATAACTGAGGTTATCAATTCCAGTTTTTTGTGGTGTCCAACGTAATAAATTTATTATTTAATGTCAACTTTACAACAGCATATGTCATGAATTTTAACGACGGTTTTGCTTCATAGATTTACTTTTATTACTGTACGCATGACATTTATTTATTTAAACACAAAAATCGGTACAAGGGTCACCAAATACATATGCGCCACACAATAATAATGAGGTTATGGAGAGATAGAGAATATAGGGAATGTATAACAAACGAACAACAACAAACCGAAATTAGTGTACGAGAGTAAAATGGAATCATGGGCTTAGTCTTTTCAATCAGGTTTTCTCAACGGTTACCTCTATTCTCTGTCTTAAAATTATACTGTTGCATTCACCTCTATATGGTAGATAGATATAAACTTTTTTCTTCGGAATCGAATAAATGAGACGTCTTAGCGTTGACTGCCTTTTGCAGCTATTTATAAACTTTAGTGAATAACCACTTGATATTAGTGTGTCAATCAGCAGCTTTTCATCTTCTCCAACCGTATCAGTGGTGCATAATCTTCGAATCCTATTAAAGAGGCACGTAACCAAGCCTCGCTTGTGTTGAAATGGACAGAGACTATGGGAATTTAAATATTGCCGTGCCTAAGTTGGTTTTCTACAAACTGACCGTCTCATAGTACCATCCTCCCTTCGATTCAAAAGTATGCCTAAAAAGGGCAATTAATCATTATTTTCTGCTTCATAGGTCATTACGATATCGTTCAGTACCCCATTGAGTTTATCTAATAACTGGTGAACTTGAAAATCTTTATCATATATAACTAATGTATCATCCATGTATCTTCTATATAGAGTTACCTCGCTGATGAGTTCACTTGTCATATTTTCAACATATAACATAAATACATCAGCTAAGAGAAGCCCCAAAGGACTACCCATAGCAACATCATCAACTTGCCGAAAATATTCGCATTCAAATATGAGCTGAACATTTGCAGTACGTAACAAAAGTAATTCTTCCAATAGTGTTGACTGAATAGGAAAAAAAGGGGTAATCATTAGATATATAATCACAAAGGAAATTCATAGTCTTAGTCAATGGTACACTCGTAAAATGAGAGTTTACATTAACGGAATGCAAAGTCTTGTCTTTAATATTAATGTCCTCAAGAAGGTTAATTAGTTCAAATGTATATTTTAAGGAAAACTTACATAGTTTATTACGGATTGGGTTTAGCAATTTTACCAACCATTTTGCTAGTTATGTGTAGGTGAACCACGCTTAGATAATTTTGGTCGTAATGGATTATTATTAGGTTCATGAATTTTAGGCAAACCATATAAATTCAGGAGAACAGAACCGGAAGGCTTCAGCATATTCGTTTTCTATTTTACTCTGAGTTCCAAATTAAAAACTTTTCATAGTACAACCTCATGGATTCCCTTTTGAATTGTACATTTCTCTTTTTAGGTTTCATTTGATACTAACTCTTATCCTCTGCATTTCGTCTCATAAACTTTCTTTTGCTATGCTTATATATTTAACGATTTGTGCCGACACACCATCCATGCTTGGTAGTCCTATGTTGATGAATAATTAGCTTAGTTTTAAAGTTTAAATCACTAAACAAACAGTTGCACAATCGTTGAAATCCGAGAAGGTTGTGGATACTCACTACTGAAGAACTTCATACTAAAACAAAACAGTAGTTCAGTTATTTCTGGTTTTCAGTGGTTATTTAACTGAGATTATTCTTTAGTGTAAACTATAAAATCCGACATTCCTCATAATTCCCTCGCACTAACAACTTACTGCTTGTTATATTTTTTTAGTTCCGCTTATAAATAAATGTCTGTCATTCAAACAGTTTATTTTCTCATCATATTTTGCTTCAAAATGTATGTATGTCTATCTCTATGACAACCCAATAAATATAAAATAACACTGAACAAACAAAAGTTAGTTCCGATTGATGAGTCGATTAATTAAAATCAGACGATTATTTCGAACATATACATTTTTACATATTTTTCTAAAAATAAACATTTTATCAATTTTCATATATTTTCTTCTAACCATAATTAACAACTATCGATTTCCCAATATAAATTATCATGCATCTACTGTACGAGATCGTGAAGAATTACGATTAGCTCATCTACGCACATTAATGTATGATTGGTACCATCAAGGAAAAATACCGTTTGTTTACCAACCACCACAATCATCATTGTCAATTTTAAGTAATAAACATGGTATTGTCATTAGTATCATGACGTCGAATCGTGTTCAATATCAAATTGATGATTATCAACCGGATTATTTAACTCAATCTTTATCAACCTTAATTAAACTAATATTTGAAGATATTTCAAGGTATGGTTACCGATTTAAATATATCAATATAATGATCTGTTTGAATGGAACCAAAATAAATGAATTGTCTAATGTACATGAAATTATACGACTTGTTGGTCAGCATGCAATTTATCCATTGCGTTCTAATCAATTATCAACTTATAGGAATTTATCTGTTAATTATCAATTTGTGAGAGATATGTCGACCTGTATGCTGAAATCAGTTGATTTAGTTAAAAAACAAGAACATAATCATAGTGATTATATACTTATCATACAAGAGGATATGATTGCAATGAATAATTTATTTGATGTACTATGGGGATTAATGCAACAATCTATGAATAATATTCGTCATTATCATGACCATCATAGACTTGGTATGATCCAATTGTATTCACATAAAAACGTAATGAAATTTCCATTTTATCATAAAATTGATAGACAATTATTTGAGTTAACATTTGCTTGCCTACTATTCATTACATTCATTGCATTTTTTATTTATTTACATGTAGCATTTAAACAATCATCATCACAGTATGGATTATATAAATTCTATTTAATGCTTAACTTATTCTTTACATTGTTTACTTTAATTTGGTTGTATGGATTTAATAATTTATTGATTCGATTATCTAATTTATTTATCTCTTATAATGGTGTTTTTCAACTCAAAAGTCAATCGTACTACGCTAAAACTGATATGATTATGGCTAATTTATATTCAAGTATACAAGTTAGACAAATCAGTCATTATCTAAAATCAGTTGCACCATGTGAAAATTCCTTATGGTATTTAAAACAGGATGAATCAAAATGTGCTCAATTGATTACATCATATCTTGTGTCAAATGCTAAACAAATATTTAGTGTATATAGAAATGTATTTAAACATTGTGGATTGTATTCGAATGAAGAAAAAAGAATGCTGAATCCAGCTGATGTCGAATAATATTGGTAGTAATAGCGTGTTGTGTCTTTCTTAAATAGTTCTTCGCTACCCAGAAATAGATTAAATTTTGTTGAGTTTTGTACTTTCGTTTTTTTCTCTTTCCGTAAACGGTGTGTGTCTGTCACAACTTGTCATCATATCAACCCTGACCGTAACTGTGAGCATAAAGTAGTGGTCAATCTTACTTATCATTATGACCCAATCGAATTATATCGTCTATGATATTTGTCCCAACATACTGAGCAGGTCAGTTAAAGAGCGATTAGACTATAAACATCAAACTTATGGCCAAGGAAAAAGTCGTACTGGGGTGTGACAGTAGTTATGTGCTTCTCATCAACAAACAGCACGATAGCTATCTTGCGTCTTTACAACAGATAAAGCGAGTTTGAAAAGATTGGGATTAGATATAGCTAAACTTACCTTATCTTACTGATTTTCGTCCTCTAAAGTACAGATGTAACACATTAAAAACAACTCGCTGAAAGCCCGTGTATAACCGATCTGAAGATTTCACTTAGCTGCTGCAGTCACTCTCCTAGATCACCAAAACTACTACTAACCCAGTTTCATTTTCAGGTGCCTCAGAAGCAATTATCCATGCACTATGCGAGCAACCGCAAAGTGAAAACCGCAGTCATACCCTGTCACTCAATATTACGTTGTTCACAATTGAACATCATCCGTGCTACCTAATATTTCTTTTATCATTACTATCCATCCTTATCTGTCTTCAAATTCTTCCACACGTATCATCAGCACTAATGGTTCGAGTTTAAAAAATTCTATTCCAGATTCCCTGAAATCATCCTCTGAACTACATGGTATAAGTTCTAGGGTCCTAATTCCATACTAATTCGAACAGTAGATATCACTAACCAGTACTCTATAAATCTTGTGACATCGATCGATGTTGTCTCCAAAAGACAGAATCTTAACGTAGTTTTTCACACTATCACAGATACCACGATTATCTGAACCCCTTTACTACCTAACTTGTCAACTTCCTAGCACAGCGTATATCAAGAGTCGTTGTTTTCATTGCTTAACAACTAATTTCTTTTGTTTAAAGGGAAATTAACATGTAATAACAGAAGTGAAAAATAATAGTAATTTTCAGTTATGCAGTTTTAAAAATGAAAATAGACCATTCGGTTTTCTCTTATATCCGTTCTCCCTGATTACATCATTTATCCATTTGGCGAAGTAAGAAACGCGTGTGAATATTGCCGGATAATCAGCGGGCAGTTTGGAGTGTGTTGCTGAAACAATACCAGCTAATCTGTATTCACCATCATCTTCACAGACCAATGGTCCACCACTGTCACCCTAAAAGATAGTTTTTTCAAAGATTAATTAATGTGGTCATGGCATTCAAAACTGAATAATCATTGGTTTGTCCTATGATCTTGAGTTTTACACTTGATTATCATTGGTTAGTTGACAAATAAACAGTCGTAGTAATTTGGTTGAATATTTTACATGTAAACCACAAACTTGGTTTTCTAATAAAGATTTATAAATTTCAGTTAGTGTTTCTATCTCTTGAAGTTTACTCAGTTATGATTCAGAGATTGTACCAATGATCAGATTATCACTCCGGTCACCTCAGTCATTCCAGTTACAACTTTATCAATTCCGGTGGGCTATTATAACAAATAACACATTCACATAGCCTTCATGAATATGTTCTCATATTATTTTTGTAAATAAAAATGCTACACCTAATGAATACAGTTTTCATGCTACGTTTCTGCCCAACTCAGACAATTGGTTCGAATTTCATCGATGAACTTTAACGTGTAGTGACTTTTTCTCGTAAAGGTTTTGATCGATATCTTTTACAACAGAGGGGTTGAAATAATTCTGAGGAAATTTCTCGCTTTCAGTGTAGTTTCCCAGAAATCATAGCTTATTCTATAAAACCTTCACCCTAAAAGTCGATTGGTATAGTTAGATTTTCAAAAGCTTAAACAAATTTGTCGATAGGACCGGAGTTCTATGATTTTCTTCAATTGACCCTAGTGCAGCTAAAACTAATCCTTGGTTTTGATAAAGCTTTTCGAACAGCTTGTGAGGACGTTCCTCTAAACTAATACCCACGATTGGTATGAAATCGTATCATCTTTACGAACGCTTTTTTTTCACAAAATAAAGCTCCGACTGAAATGGAACCTACACAGATCAGTCATAATCAGAGTAAATGCTTACAAAAATTTGCATTAGCTTGAGTTGACGTACCATATTAGTATGACAAGTTGAAATTGACAGGATAAATAGTAAAATAGTCGAAATAATCGTAGTATCAATGATACTAAAGAATATTAAGCATTAAGAGTATGGTTCAAGAAAGCGTACTGAAAAGGTATGAACAAAGGAATACTGGGACTCAAGATCTAGAGGAAGATGAAAAGTGAGTTCATATACACCACTATGAGTAACTCCAACCACTGGTTGTGGTTACTACCCGAACTCCAGTCTAGTAGTCTGGATCTACCGACATGCCTCAGACTGACAATGACTGACTCTATAATCTGATATTATATCTTGATTTGGTCTCGCCTGTCTATACAAATGATGCTAGTTAAGCCAATCAAAATATCAACCTACAACTGGATCCAAACCCCTAATTTCGTAACTGAGTAGTATTAGTTGAGATTAGATGGTGGTTGGAGGTAGTCAACAGGAAACCCTGGACCCGGGTTTCGTGCTACTTGGCACTCGTCAGCAAGGTGTACCTGTAATCTTGAGGGGATTGGTGCTCCCTGGCGGAATAAGGACTAGACAAGCATGACATTGATCACCACCCAGTGATCAATCAATTGTGATTACATCTCAGTCCTACACGAAGTCAGTCGCGGCTCGGATAGCTCAGTGGTAACGTCTCTAACTGTGAAGCTGGGTGACACGAGATCGAATCCGCCGGGGAGCACCAGTTCCCTCAAGATTACAGGTACACCTTGCTGACGAGTGCCAAGTAGCACGAAACCCGGGTCCAGGGTTTCCTGTTGACTACCTCCAACCACCATCTAATCTCAATACATAGTGCCCACAGTGTCGAGTCACCTAGACTGGTGGCCACATTGCAACATGATCGATAGCATTCGATATGCACTAATAAGGACTAGACAAGCATGACATTGATCACCACCCAGTGATCAATCAATTGTGAGTAGTATTAGTCGATGAAGCAGTTGGTCTACGGTTTAGTACTTCATCTCCATGTGTATAAATTAATCTATTAGCAGTAAATGTCCCGAGTAATAATTTAAATTCACGTACAAAAAGAAACGAACGAAATACTAACTGACTTTATAAACGAACAGTGGCAAAGACAATCAGCAGTGGTTGATAGTTATTAAAGTACATTTGAGAAACTAGTCTGAAAGTAGTAATAATTACCAAATGGGATCATCAAGCAATCTAAAAGAATTGGTAATTTTTCAAAAAGCCTAATATCTGGTCTCTGTGAAGCATTATATATATTTCATAGAAGCTTTAGGATCACAACTGTAGAGAAATTATAATCTTTTGGTTCGACTGTTTGATTTCCTAGGTGTTTTGTGCATAGATAATTTGGTAACTGGAACAGATACATATATATATTTAAGTTGCCACGCTTCACCTCGATATAGTGTGATGAGACCATCAGGTAAGTGAATGAAAATACAATCATCCGCGAGAGGGTAAGAACAATATATATGAAATATTTCGAAATTAATAATTACATTTTCTCAAATTATATGAAACTCACTATACCGCAGGTGGTTAATGGCCTTATCTTAATCCTTCATAATCATATTTGGAATCGGCATGCCCTTATATCCTCTACAGTGACCCAATTTTATGTGTCTACAACAAAAACTTACTATTACTTTCACCAACAAATGAGTAAATTAGTGCGCTTTTGTCGTATAAATTTAAATTGTGAATTTTGCAATGAAAATTGTGGAAGAGCTGTTACTTGGTAGAATACTTTTGTTGTTTTTATGTTTTATGAGCTGAATATCTGTTAAGTGATCACCACGGGACCTGAAGGTCCTGAGTTAAATCCTTAACGAAATCATTCATTCACAATGCTAAGAAGAAGATGAAACAGCGGCCCAGTTCTCCCTGGTTGCTGCTACGTTGACGTGGTGGTCGAACTTGCTTATCGTGATGAACCAATCGAGCTATACTCGCTGGAACAATCGTCCCTCAATGTCCTACCATGCAAGACAGGTCGGTTGAAGAGCTGTAAGGTCTGAGGTCGAAGTCGTACTGCTGACTGTACAGAAGTAGTGACGGCAGACAATCAGCATAACAGCAATGCTGCCTTCCCACAAGTAGGGGTGGCATTGGAAAAGGCCGACCCAGAAAATACACACCTCACCTTATCCCACGGGTTTCCGTCTCCGGCGGTAAGGTCCCGACAAGTATGAAGCTAACATGAATAGTAATCACAAAAAGGTCGTGTGTAACCGGCCTCAAGCAGTTGTTTCTTGGGCGCTGCGGTCACGCTTTCAGGTCACTAAGACCACCTCTAATCAAAGTTTCTTTTCAGGTATCTCTAAAAGAACTCTACCACGATTTGGGCAACCGGGGAGTGATAACCGCCCTCATACCTCTAACAGTACTCAAGATCACTAAATTCATAATCAATCTCCCTCTTCAGTACCTATTATTCATCCTACATCGACTTTCAACTCTAGAATTCCTCTTTTGACTTCTTCTTCAAATATCACCATGGCCAACGATTCCAGTGCGCGAAATATTGTCCCAAGTCTACTACACGTTGGTGCCTTCAACGTACGTACCCTATGTCAAATCGGCCAGCGATTCTCCTTGGCTAAGACCCTACAATTTCATACCATTGATGTATGCTGTGTCTCCGAAACAGGCATACAGGATCCTAGTGTGGTCTTTCACTTAACCTCATCTCGCCAAAATGGGGAGCCGACGAGATACACCCTTCGTTCATCTGGCGATCAGATGGCTAGTTCGAATGGACTGACGGGTGT